CTCATGGACTTCAACTCCCAGAATTCCTGAGCCAGCCATGCTGAAGGGAAAGGGAGAGATTTCCATGCTGAGCCAAGCTGGCTCAGGAATTCTGGGAGTTGGTCCACGAGTCATAAAAGAGCCAAGGTTGCCTACTCCTGCAATAGAGGGATCCATCCTTTTGTTAAATAACTCAATTAAAATCAAGATGGTGCTGCAATTGAAGCCCCACCTCGTCTTATGCAAATAAAGCAAAGATCACAATGGCACGGCCGCCGTCTTACTCTTTTTTTAAACATACCTGCCGACACTGTACCCCTTATTTGCCCATTTCGCTAAAGCTAAAAAAAAGTGATTTCTCCATTATAACAGCAACCAGCTTTCTTGAAAGTAAAAAAAAAAAAAAGGAACAGCATAAAATATTGAAATGGGCTCATAATCTGAAAACGCTTAGCCAAAGGCTCCCTTTTCTTTAAATAAAGAGATCTGCTTTGAATGGACTATGGCATTTTCATCCTCAGGTGAATTCTAGTTGCTTAGGCAACAGGTGGAAGGCCTCTAGTTGTCCTGGCAACAAAGTATGCCAAGTCTGAGCTGCCTACTCTACTAGTCTTCCCACACGGCTTTTTTTTTTTTTTTTTTTTTAAAAAAACCTTTACATTGTTTTCTGGAGGCATATGGATGGCCTTTGGAGTACTAGGAATGGCTCTTGCGAATCTTTTAACGTAGGTATGTCTCTTTGGGTAGCAATCAAGTTAGAATGAAAGCAGTCAACCGGCGGCCTGAGAGATTAGCAGAAAATTATTAGGTATTATTCCCCTATTGTGGAAAGGAGAAAATAGCAAAGGAGGATTGTAAACCACTGTTTATGTCAGATCTGTTCCGCAGATCTGACATGAGTGAGGTGCTGGTTTATAAATTATGCTGCTTTCCATGACACAGATACAGTGGCCAGGCTTCATGCCAAACATTAAAAACTGAAGTGCTGGGAATCTTTTGGTTTGGTTTCTTCCTGTAATTTGCAAACCTGCCTAAAATAATTTTGTGACTGTGAACGAGCAAATCTGATTCCTTTGACAAAATTGTTTTTTTAAAAAATTATATACATATATCCGCATGTGATCTTATAACTTCTTTGATATGTGTCTGATAGTCTCTCTCTCTCTCTCTCTCTCTCTCTCTCTCTCTCTCTCTCTCTCTCTCTCTCTCTCTCTCTCTCTTCTGTGTATATGTGTGTGTGTGTGTGTTTGTATACATATCAGAAGAGACTGGAGGAACTGAATATGTACAGCCCGGAGGAGAGACGGGAAAGAGAGGACATGATTGAAACCTTTAAATATTTTTAAATATATTAGGGGTATGAATAAGGTCCTAGAAGGCAATATTTTCAATATTAAACAAAAATCAAGAACACAGGCCATAACCTCAGGAGGGAAGCTCAAAAGTCATGTTAGAAAGTATGACTTCACAGAAAGAGTAGTGGAAGCTTGGAAACAACTTCCAGGGGAGGAAGTGGGTCCATCATCAGTGACTCAGTTTAAACAAGCTTGGGATAAATGCATGTCCATCATCAACCTTTTTTTTTTAAAAAAAAGACTCCCCAAATATATACACCCAAATGGTGCATGATTTCCTGCCTGAGAGGGAGTTGGACTCAATGACCTCCAAGGTCCCTTCCAACATTATTATTATTATTATTATTATTATTATTATTATTATTATTACTACTACTACTACTACTACTACTACTACTACTATTACTATTACTATTACTATTATAGATAGAGATATATAGATATCAGGAAGTTGATATGCAATCCTGGCTGATGTGTTCCGTGCCTGCTTTATAAGAATATAGATATTTTTACCTTTGTGGTGGGATGCAGGTGTCATTAATTAATTCGAGCCTCCTAATTGTGTAATCAGAACATTTCAAGGGAAAAAAATGTATATTAGACTCTGAGCCAAACCTTGTACTAAATTGCATTTTTTTTCCCACAAAAAAAAAACACCTGGAAGTTCTTCTCAGTGTAATAATCCTAAGGCAGTGGTTCTCAACCTTTTTAATGCCGCGACCCCCAACCGGTTGTAAGTCGAGGACTACTCAACTGGTGCAGCACCGTTTGCAGAATGGGACTTTTGGCGGGCTCAGCAGGGCAGAGACAGCCTGGACAATTCCTATTGGCTTTTGAAAGCCAATAGAATTAGACTCTATTCAAGAGAATCTAGTCTATTGGCTTTCAAAAGCCAATAGAATAAAAGGGAGTAGCACAGCTAAGGAAAAGGGGAAAAAAATGGCGGACTGCGTTGTTTGGCGACCCCTGTGAAATGGTCGTTCGACCCCAAATGGGGTCCCAACCCACAGGTTGAGAACCACTGTCCTAAGGGGTTCCATTGCCTCCAGTTCCATTCTGGGCCGATGGTCAGATCTTTTCTTCTCCTACGTTGTCACAGAATTTCGCCTTCCTGCCCCCCCCCCCCAAAAAACGATGTAAACAGTACAATTTGGCAAATGCCTGTACAGAAGGAAGTCTGTCCTTCCATTCCATGGAGATTGTTCTGCTTTGTATTTAAAACTGTAAATAACTTAGTGGAAATGTTGGCATGTATCTTTCTTTACTTGTTTCCAAAGAGGATTTTGTTTCCTACCAAATTTAATCCCAGATCTTTCCTTCAGTTGGTTTCTTTAAAGAAAATCACAAAAATTGGGCATTTTTCTGATATCCATAAACATCAAACTCAAAAGACCACTGAAAATCACATTTTTATTATTAAATCCATTTGCTCTCGTTACTAAAAAGGTTAAAGAGTCATTTGAACAGAACAGAACAGAATAACAGAGTTGGAAGGGATCTTAAAGGTCTTCTAGTCCAATCCCCTGCTCAGGCAGGAGACCCTATACCAGGGGTGTCAAACTGCTGGCCTGTGGGCCGGTTGCATCATATGGAGGCCGCACCCACCCCAGCTCCGGCAATGCAAAAAAAGTCGCAATACGTCACATGATGCGGCAAGTTTGACACCCATGCCCTACCATGGGTAGGCAACCTTGGCTCTTTTATGACTCGTAGACTTCAACTCCCAGAATTCCTGAGCCCGCCATGCTGAGGGGAAGGGAGAGGTTTCCAAGCGGAGCCCTGCTGGCTCAGGAATTCTGGGAGTTGAAGTTCACAAGTCATAAAAGAACCAAGGTTGCCTACCGCGGCCCTATACCATTCCAGATAAAAGATAGTCCGTTTGAAGTCAACTCATCCCAGGCTGACTCAACCCTAACCCAAACCCCTTGTCTCCCTCAAGACTTTTTTTTTTTTTGACTTTCCAGCCTCATCTACAAACCTGATATTTCCTGGTTTGTTTCCAATCAAAAGACCTAACCAGATTTGTCTCTGCTTAGCTTTTCAAGATCAGCCAAGGTTGAGTAGGTGCTTCCATTGTGGGCTATATTATGGAGGCTTCTTCTTTGCAGTCTTAAGACATTGTTGTGTTCTCTTAATTTTCACCTCTCCACAGGTGTAGATGCCCCAAAGTTGCCTCTAATTCCTGCAAAAGATGCAGAGGAGGTCCTTGCCAAAGAATCAGAAAAATATGACCAAAACGTACCTCCTGTGAAGAGTAACCATAGTCTTCTGGTGTTTCAACCTCAGATAACTACGGATGTTCATAGGGAAAAAGAGTCTCCACATGCCCCCAAGGTTGAACAGTACTATTACCAAATCAACTGGCCACAAGCGGTGCTGCAAAGGTGGGCCACTGAGAAGTCGAACCGGGAGAAAAACCTTAACCTAGTTTTCAGCCAAGGACAAACCTTTAGGAGTAGAGAACCAGAAGCTGAGAAAAGAGACCTCCAGGAGAGCCCTGAAATGGCATCACAACCTCAATGCTCAGATGATTAAAGAACATGACATTATATTGGCTCTTATTATAAGAATGTAGTCCCGATTTTACAGAATTGGTTTGGTTCATTTCAGATCCATAGTTCTTAGGCCTACCTGCAGGTTGACCTTTAATAAATTCGATGCCCCTTTGAAAGGTTTTTGTGGGGCAGGAATGCTTGGGTTGGAAATGTGTTTCTATGTTTTTTGTAATAAACATAAAAGCAGTCCTGGTGATGTCTCATAATCTAGAAAAGGAATGGGAAGTTCTAAACGCTACTATTTGTAAACCGCAAATAATGAATTAAGGTTAGTATGTTGTCTGAATGCCACCCCTAGGCTTATAATGGACCTGCAAAGTAGGTTTAATCATGCATACTCCTGCCTGTGTACTTCTCAATTCATCCTTGGGGGCTAAGGGTTCAAGGCCCATCGCCTTATGCTTTTGTCAAATGAAACTGTTTTCTCTGTCACTTTGATGGATTAATGCAGTGCCTGCAGAATTTGATGTTAGTTTGTACACATTTTTTTCTTCTGGAATCTAACCCCCACCCTTGCACCAACATTCCTTCTTCAAAAGACCTCTTTCTTCCACTTGGTGAGAGAGAAGTGTCAAGGAATATTTTAAAATATTTCTCTCTCTCTCTCTCTCTCTCTCTCTCTCTCTCTCTCTCTCTCCCTCCCTCCCTCCCTCCCTCTCTCTCTCTCTCTCTCTCTGTGTGTGTGTGTTTGGGGCCTCGAGGTGATCTTAACCTTTTTGAACGAATCGCCCCCTTGAGCCAATGAGGAAGTTGTCATCGCCCCCCTCCCCCAAAATAACCTCTCAATCACAACATAGGAAATAATTCTTCAATTTATGCAAACACTTTTTTTGTTTACTTTAAAATTGTTATCAGGACATATCGATGCAAATTATTTATTTCTAGTCTTTTTCCCATATCTCCCATATTCTGGCCAATAGCGTGCCACTGTATGGGTAGAGGCTACTGCGCAACGCGCACGAAGATAAGCGATGCGTCTTTACATATGTACGGCATTCTGTACTGAAGCTAGCTGGAGGAACATTTGAAAACACAATTCAATCCACTAACAGTGAGCGATCTGATGTTTTTTACAACAGATATACAGCGATTCACTGTACGAAAAGTCTCAAAAGTGTCCCCAAAACTTCTCGCTCCATTGCCCCCATATCGCCCCCTTTTCGTTCCTTCGCCCCCTGAAAAAAATCGCCCCCTGGGGGGCAATATCGCCCAGGTTAAGAACCATTGATCTAAACCCTGCAGCCGGTTCCTGGTTCAAAATTCTTTAAACTCCTTATTAAGTCTACTCAAAATAAATCCTGTGATACTGCATAAATTTTTCAACCATGAAGAGTCCTAGAAAGCATGATAGTTTAGCCATGCAATCACCGGAAGGAGTGAATCTGAAATTTCCAGCCTCATTAAAATACAATATGAAACTTTACATCGCTGCAGACAGATTTCACCAGCAGGATCTGAGGTGGTTCAGAGACTCACCACAATGGCGCTGGGGTCTGCATATGTTTGCCCTTCATTTAGAACGAAACTAATCAAAATTAGTTTGAAGCAATCAGGGTATTTTTTTCAAGTCCCAGAATGATCAGAAATTCCAACTTAAGGCCATTGTTTTTTAAAATTTAACAAAACACAGGGTCTACAGAACTAGCACAAGCGAGGCTCCTGAAAACATGGTCTAAGATTAATCATCCAGACTTTTAGCACTGTGGAGGCTGCAGGAGGAGAACTGTGTGAGACTGTGATAGCAGAAAAACAAATGAAATGAAAATTAGAGGGATCCTTAGAGTTCCATAGTGAAAGTCAAATCAGTATCCGACATTTTTTTCCTGTAGTCTTCATCAAACCACTCATTTTGAGCCACGGTGAAGTGGTACTTCCAGTCACCGACCGTCCCTGTAAGGCAATCACACCATATAGTCTGCTTGGAAATTTTAAGTGGTGCTTTCTACAAGAGCCTTAGAAATGGTAAAAAAAACCCCAATAACACTGGACATTAATTTCATATAATAACAACAATAATAATAATAAAGTTGGAAGGGACCTTGGAGGTCATCTGGTCCAACCCCTTGCTCAGGCAGGAAACCCTATACTATTTTGGATTAATGGCTGTCCAGTCTCTTCTTAAAAACTTCTAGTGTTGGAGCATTCATTGCTTTTGGAGGCAGGTTGTTCCACTGGTTAATTGTTCTAACTGTCAGGAAGTTTCTCCTTAGTTCTAGGTTGCTTCTCTCCTTGATCAGTTTCTATCCATTGCTTCTTGTCCTGCCTTCAGGCGCTTTGGAAAATAGCTTGACTTCCTCTTCTTTGGGGCAGCCCCTGAGATATTGGAACACTGCTATCATGTCCCTTCTCCTCCTTCTCATCATTAAACTAGACACACCCAATTCCAGCAACTGTTCCTTATATGCTTTAGCCTCCAGTCCCCTAATCATCTTTGTTGCTCTTCTCTGCACTCTTTCTAGAGTCTCAACATCTTTTTTACATCGTGGTGACCAAAACTAGATGCAGTATTCCAAGTCTGGCCTTACCAAGGCATTGTAAAATGGTATTAATGCTTCATGGGATCTTGATTCTATCCCTCTGTTAATACAGCCCAGCACTATGTTGGCCTTTTTGGCAGCTGAATTTACTGTACTGGAATTATCAACAAGAGATAACTGTAATAAGAATAGCCTTTGCAAATTCAGCCTTTCGAAGAACATTATAGGTAGTCCTCAATATATAACCATTCACTTAGTAACCGTTCAAAATCACAACAGCATGTGACTTATAACCCATCCTTGTAACTTACAACCGATGCAGCATCCCCACATTCATGTGGTCAAAATTCAGTTAATTGGCATCTGGCATGTATTTGGTTGCATGGGGTCATGGCCCAGGCCTGTTTAATAACCTATAACAGTGATGGCGAACCTTTTAGAGACCGAGTGCCCAAACTGCAACCCAAAACCCACTTATGCATGGTCGAGTGCTGGGTGGGTGTGGCCCATTGGGTGGGCGTGGCCCATGGGGTGGGCGTGGCTGTGGTGGTAACAGCAGATTGGGTGGGACTAAAAAATTCAATCAATCAATTCCAACTTTGCAAAATATTTTTTTTTTCCCACAAGAAGTTGAAATTGACTGATTGAACCTTTTTTTTTTTTTTTTGCACACGGCGGCGGAGGCCTAAAGCTAAAAGGTTTTATAAAACCCAGTTGAAGGCCTAGGATTGGGGCGACGGTGCGCGTACCCACAGAGAGGGTTCTGAGTGTCGCTTCTGGCACCCGTGCCATAGGTTCACCACCACTGACCTATAATGTCAGGTCCTGATAAATCATCATGGAGAAATACTCCAGTTCCTTACACACATGTTCCAAAACACAGAAAACCTGTATTTCTCCAGGATTCCTCTACGTTTCTTGCAATGCAGGATACTTAAAGACAGTTCAGTTCTAGTGACTTGCCGGGAAGTGGGAAAAAGCATACCTTTTCTCATGAATGGAGAAATGGACTGGTCCATGACAGACAGGGGTGCATTAGCTCGGTTAACCATGGGGTTGTGCTTCATGACTTCGAATGAGGTGTGATGCACAATCTTGTCTACAATTGCCACGTCTAGTTGCTTCCCTATAAACTGCATTATCTTCTGGATTTCACGCTTTGGGTCCTGTGTGAGATGAAGGATAGCAGAGATGGATAAAAGAGAAGCAGAACTTTCTTGAGAAAGACTTGAGAAAAGGTGGCGTAAGGTTCCAGCCTCTAAATCCTCAAACTGATTCAACGTGTGCCTTGATGATCTTACCACCATCATTTTGCAACAGTGCTGCCTCCTGGCTGGGCGAGGGAAACACACATGTTGGCAACCCGCTAACAATCGGTCCTCATGCTAACAAAAAAGACCAGTCACAATGAGCAAATTGCAAACTTTGGCCTAGTGGTTAAGGCGCCAAGCGAGAAACCAAAGGGCTGTGAATTCTAGTCCCGCCTTAGGCATGAAAGTCAGCTGGGTGTCCTTGGGCCAATCACACTAGGAAACAGAGTTCTAGTCCCGCCTCAGGCATGAAAGCCGATTGGGTGACGTTGGACCAGCCATTCTCTCTCAGTCCATTACATAAGCTTAGGCAACAAGCCAATTGACCAATTCCTGTCCCAACCAAAGACATAACACTCATTGATCTAAAAAAAAAAAAAAAAAACGAGGAAGAAGAAAACAATGAGCAAATTTTCAAAGCTACAACCCTACTTACTTTAAAAAGTAGACCGAAATAATGCCATGGCAGCACAGATCTTAACTCAAGCTCTCTAACAACCAATTTACCGTATTTTCCGGCATATAAGACAACCCGTCGTATAAGACGACCCCCGACTTCGGAGACGATTTGCATGGTTAGAAAGTCATCTTATACGCCGGAAATTACCGTATTTTCCGGCATATAAGATGACTCGGCGTATAAGACAACCCCCAACTTCAGAGACGATTTGCATGGTTTAGAAAGTCATCTTATACACCGGAAAATACGGTATTTTCATAACATTTTCCAAGTAAGTGGACATTGTTCCCAAAAGGGGAGATCATTGTTACCCTTTTAAAAATTTTAATAAATTCTAGGATCCCATAAAGAGGAAAAGAACTTTTATTTTTAAGATCCCCATTATTTTCATTGGCTTGCATAAAAATGTGAAGACAATGTACTCATCTCACCCCTGCAGGAGAAGGAGCTACAGAGAGAGAGAAAAAACATAATTTTCCAGTCCTGTTTCCATTCAGACTTTCCTTCCAGAACTCACTTTTTTAATGTCTTCATAAAAGAGATACAGGACACGGTAAATATCTTTTGCTTTCCACCAATCCTTTATGTGATTGTACCAAGAGCCCCAGGCCACTGGCAAATACAGAACAGAGAAAGGTAAGAAGCCATCAAATTCAGAGTCAAGATCCCAGCAAGATGCACAAAAACACTGTTTTCAAATATTTGGGGCTTCCTGCTTTTTTCCATTAATACCCTGAAAACATTGCAAAATGACCCCCATATAAGCGAATATTTGTAGCTCTTAGTTGAACTGTGGGGCCCCTGTTGCTTTCTGAGCTTGGTTGTTTTCTTGCAAACTAGATACAAAGGATTTTGCAAATCCTACTCCATCTAGCACTGATGAAGTTACCTAGTTGGGTAACAAAATGTCTCAAGAAAACAACCAAGCTCAGAGAGCACCAAGGATCCTGGAACTGCTTCTGCCATCATCAACCTGCCTTCATTGCAGATGCAGATTTTCCCTGTAGTGCAATTTACTTTCTTGTAATGCAAGGCTTACTAATAATGCATCTAATAATCATTTCCCGCATGTAATCTGCCCTTTACCTTACTGAAATCTCCCCACCTCCCAATTACTTGTTCCTTTCAAAAAAAAAAAAAAAACAAGAAAGGGGTGCTGACTTACCTTTGCCTGCCATGAAAATCTCCAAATATTCCTCCCATGTTCCAGGATGGGGTAACGTTTTGTTCATTCTTTGGAAATGGAAATAGGACACCAGGCAATCCTTGGGATTTCTTGCCATATAAATGAACTGAGGCAATAACAGCAGGAAAAAAAAAACAGTCCTGGATTAAGCAATAAGTAAAAATAGCACTGTGCTTGAATGTTTCAAGGCCTTGGCAACTCTGAGGCAGGTGGACTTCAACTCCCAGAATTCTGGCTGGGGAGTTGAAGTCCATATGTCTTAACACTGGAGGTTTTTAAGAAGAGACTGGACAGCCATTTGTCCGAAATGGTATAGGGTTTCCTGCCTGAGCAGGGTGTTGGACTAGATGACCTCCAAGGTATCTTCCAACTTTACTACTACTACTACTACTACTACTACTACTACTACTACTACTACTACTACTATTATTATTATTATTATTATTATTATTGATCATCGCATAGTCAGCCAGATGTTCAGACTGGATTTGGCATTTTGTCTACCTATCGAGTCCTTACCCAGGACCTGGGATAGGCAGATGTGGATGTTTGATGGTATTACAGATATCGTCGCAGGATGGAAGCAGTTCCTAGTAAGGCCGCCTTTTTCAATTGACTAATAGCGAATTTGTCAATGCCAAGGGTGTTCAAGTGGTGCTCCAGTTTTGGGATTGCACCCAAGGAGCCTATGACTATTGGTACTACCCTTGCTTGCTTTTGCCACAGTCTTTCTATTTCTATTTGTAGGTTTTTGTATTTTGTTATCTTCTCCAGTTCTTTCTCTTCTATTCTGCTGTCTCCAGGCACTGCCACGTCCACTATCCAGACTTTTTTGTCTTTCTTATCGACAATTGTTAAGTCTGGGGTGTTATGTTGCAGGTGCTTGTCTGTTTGAATTCTGAAGTCCCAGAGCAGTTTAATTTTATCATTTTCTATGACTTTCTCTATTTTATGATCCCACCAGTTTTTGCTTATAGGCAAATGATAATTTTTGCAGATCTTCCAATGCACCATTGTTGCTACTTTGTCATGCCACTGCTTGTAGTCAGTCTGTGCAATCTTCTTGCAACAGCTTACCAGGTGGTCCACTGATTCTTCAGCTTCTTTGGATAGGCGGCACTTACTGTCTGTTGCTGTTGTTGTTGTTGTTGTTGTTGTTGTTGTTATTATTATTATTATTATTATTATTTGCCAAGGTTGAGAAACACTAGAATCAAGGGAAGGAAGGGGTGGCACCACAGAGAGTTGGGGAGGACCATTGCCTTTCACTGCCACACTCAACTCTGGTTTTCAACAGTGTTAATGTTAAGGAATGGAAGAGTCGAGCAGCTAATTGTTGAACTTTGCTTATGGCGGGGTGGGGACAAGTCATAAAAGAATCAAGGTTCCCCCATCCCTGGTTTAGGGCATCAGTTGGCCTTAATCCAGCCCTGACAAGAAATCTTTCCCCATGTGACAGCAGATAAGAGATGTCTTCTCCCCCTCCCCAAAGGTATACAATTGACCATCTCGGTAAGAAGGATTTCACTCCATTCCCACAAACAAATGGGAATGTGGAGGAATTGCTCCACTTAGAGCCCAACCTACTTCATATGACTTTTTTGTGGCAGGAGCAGTGGTGGGATTCAGCCGTTTCGCACCACTTTGGCAGAACCGGTAGCTAATTTTTTGTTGCCCAGGCCCAGAATGAACTTCCGGAAGCAGCATCCACACAGAGAACTGGTGGTTCACATATTTGAATCCAACCACTGGGCAGGGGACTAAGGTAGGAGCAACCAGGACATGTGTTGTCTTAAGGTAGGAGATAAATCTAACATGAAGTAAGTAAGTAAGAAGGTAGTCAATGACTCTGTTTATATTTAATTTGGGATCTTCTGGAGAAGATTTGGCAGCAACAAGAAATACCTTGCAGTTCTCGGTCCAGAAGGACTTAGGGAGCAGCTGGACAGGAAGGTGACTCTTGAGGGTCCTTGGAGAGGGCATCATTTCAGCTTGGTCCACTCCTGTTTAAAGACACACCAAAGACAAAAAGGATTAGAATCCGTATTTGGACCTGAATTAATAGTTAAGACATGTCTGGCTACTTGTACAGATTTGTTGAGGATCTCTCGTTAGGCATCTTCCCCTTGCCCCAATAAACAACTTCTCCCAGGCTTCTGTGTGGAAGTGGCAGGCTAGTTAGATCTACCCAAGGTCTGGAATGGCCTTGCCCATTCAATGAATGGGTGTCGATGATGCACAGAGGCCCTCTGACATTTCTCCAGGTCGCCTTCTTGTTGGATCATATCCACGATCTCTTGTATCCAAGTGGTACCTAAGGAGAGAGGGAGAGACCGACATTCGTCTATCCTGTGCTAGGCAGAAGCGATGTAGGCCTCACAAAAGAAGCTGAAGCCTGCAATCACTCACCTTTCTGCAGGTTTTCTGTCACTTCTGCCAGCCCCAAAATGGGGAAAGGGATTACGCAACTCTAGAAACCTTCCCTCTGATCATCGTCAGAAAGATTTAGCAAAGCCTCACAAGAACTATTTCAGCTTGTACAGCAGCTAAGAAAGGTTGGGAATTGGATTTTGCAAAGGATCACTAAACCAGATTAAATTCTTTCTGACAATACAAGATCATTCTTACCCAATCTAATGGCCATCCCAGACAGCTGAACAGACTTTCTTGGAAAACCCAGCAGAGTTATACTGGATCAATAATGGAATCTGTCCAAAGTCAGGAGGAATTTACTTTAGTCCCCTGGAATGCAAGGCAGTAAAACCGGTCAGTCTTAGAGGAGATCGACCCTGACTGCTCTTTAGAAGGCCAGATCCTGAAGTTGAAACTCAAGTACGTTGGGCACCTAATGAGAAGGAAGGACTCACTGGAGAAGGGCCTAATGCTGGGAAAGATTGAGGGCAATAGAAGAAAGGGACGACAGAGAATGAGGTGGCTGGATGGAGTCACTGAAGCAGTAGGCCTGAGCTTAAATTTACTCCAGAAGATGGTAGAGGACAGGAAGGTCTGGAGGAACGTTGTCCATGGAGTCGCAATGGGTCGGACACGACTTCGCAACTAACAACAACAACATAGATAGCTTGGGATACTATATACTCGCAAACTGAACATGACTTCATCCCTAGATTCTTACCTGATTTGGGGTAAGTACAAAGAAGTACGTCATCTGGCTTGGCTTGGAAACACTGGATTCGATCCCATTCATTACAAATGCTTGTTGGTAAGGGAATCCCTTCCACCTCACTTAACCTAGGACGGGTCTCTGAGGTGGGATCTTTTCCTTGCTCCATGAATGTTAGTTATAACATAAGACAGGCAAAAAAATCTGAGGAAAACAAAAAATTCTTTCAAACATTCTCTAAGCAGGGTATTGGACAAGATCACCTTCAAGATCCCTTCAAACTGTAGGATTTGGTCAGTGGTGGGATTCACCGGTTCTCTGTGTGGATGCTGCTTCCAGAAGTCCATTCTGGGCCTGGGCAACAAAAAATTAGCTACCGGTTCTGCCAAAGTGATGCAAACCGGCTGAATCCCACCACTGGCTTTCGTGTTATTGGGAAAACTACATTACTAGCAAAAATCTTGATTTAACAGACTTCAGGTTAACGGGTTTCAGATCTAAGGGAAAATCTTTCTTTGCATTTAGCAATCATCCCTATTTGGTGGACAAAGCCCACTACATTCAATTCAGCCTAGATTATTTATAATTTATTTAACTACGTAGTGCTATGTAAATGGGTAAATTTAGGAAAACAACATACATTTGGATTTAATAGCTACTCCATTTTCCATTCATTCTATAATTTTACTACATTTTTCTTCAGGTCATAAAGGAAGACATTGTATGTACTCAAAGCAGTTTGTCTTCAGTTTGTTATGCTTTCAAAGTTTCAGGGTAGCCCGCTTTATGCAATTCAGAGCTACAATGCTAGCCAAGATTTCAAAACTACAGTTGCTTTGTTTGTATTAGAAGAGGTTTTTTTCTGACTAACCATCCCTTTGGGGGCAAATTGTCTTAAATTCAGGGTATTGTGGTCTATTTTTAAGATGAATGTGGTCACCATCATACCTAATCTCTTCTACTCTTTCATTTCCTTTTAAAATAAAATGATTGGCTGCTAGAACTGCTAGAACTGTCAGTCACAGCCTAGTACACAAGTTCCTCCTCCCAGTGATTTTGGAAGGAGGGGGGGAACTGAGGGGAAAGGAGTTTGGGAAGGAGGTCTGGAGTCCCAGGCCTAAGACCTCCATCTCAAAAGCCAGATACCGGATTCTCTTTGGGTTCTTGTATCTATAATCCTCGCTTAACCTCCACAATTGGCATCTATTGCCTGTTTCTCCATGGATTCTGCTTGTAAGAAACCAGCTGTGCTCAAATAGTGAATACGTGACTCTGTGATGCAGCAGTGATAGTCATACATGCAAGGACTGGTCATAAAGTTACTTTTTTCAGCAGTGTTGTAATTTTGAATGATTGCTAAACAGGACAGTCATTAAGCGAGGATTGCCCATAGGGTCCTCTGGGTTTTCTCCAGCTTGCGAAACTAGCAAAATGATAATGTGCCACTTTTAGCCTGCTTTTAGGGCATTGGAACGTTAGGGGGTGGAAGTGGCATCGACTTGATTTTGAAATGAATTAAATGCCTTTTAGGCACAGCAGTTGGGAAACTGTAATTTGCAAAGAACACAAATTGCTTGCAAATAACTTTCGGAGTAATTTGCAAATTGAACTTGCTTGCAAATAACTTTCCTTACACATACCAGCCGCCTCGCATGTGTTGTGACTCACCCAGTGTTTAATGTGGAAAAAAGTCTCCTTAGTATTTTGAAAGTCTCTCAGGACCTTGAGCAAAAGTTTGAATCTCAAATCTCAAATATGTACCCGTGTTGCATGACTGTAGTATTCTTATCTTTTTTACTGTCCCCACTTATTGGTGTTATTTTAATTATTATTATTATTACCCTGTTCCTTTGCAAATACAAGGGAGCTTCTGCACCGGAGACAAATTCCTTGTGTGTCTAATTATATTCAGCCCATATTCTAATTCTAATTCTACTTTTTTTCTCCACCTTGTTGGGGAATGTTTAATCTCCCAAAGTCAATAATTTTCAAGATACTCATGTACTTTTTAATCTCACATGTACATACACATATTTCTACCTTTGTTTCCTTTGCTATTTTATCTCAAACACACCTTGTTATTGACTTTCTCCTTATGAATAAATAATTATTTCTTTAAAGGTCTAGAAAGTCCCCCTCCCCAACCTAGGTCACATTTAATTTATTGGCAATTTTAGTTTGGTTGAGTATGTTTTAGTATAATTGTTGGCTGAACAGCATAGGCCAATTTTCCATCACATTTTAGGAGAGCTGGGTTAGTCCAATGTTGCAAAAATAAAAATAAAAACTCAGAAAGAGCTTAATAGCACATTTTCCAGCTAACATATATTTTTTTTTTATTAAAAAAGCACTTCTATGAACAGAATGGGTCCCTTGTTCTACTGGAATTTCCAAATATCATTCAACAGAGATTATACCAAGAATGGGCAAATTTTGGATCCAGGATCAATCAACCTTGACTCCTGTTTGATCAAATCATATCGTATTCCCCAGAACGAGTAACATGTTATTAGAGCAGGGGTTCTCAACCTTGGCAACTTTAAGACTTGTGGACTTCAACTCCCAGAATTCCTCAGCCAGCTTTGCTGGCTGAGGAATTCTGGGAATTGAAGTCCACAAGTCTTAAAGTTGCCAAGGTTGAGAACCCCTGTATTAGAGCAACGTATTATTGCATCATTCAGAGTTGGGAAGTATATGGAAACTGTAACGTAAGCTCAACTGGTTTAGCATTTTTAAAAACAGTAAGGGGGAAAAAAACGTGATTGCCTCAAAAACGGAAGAAAAGGAATATTACAGCCCTAGGTACTGAGTCCTTCAATCAGTAGAGGGCTGTTCACCTCTGACTTATGAAAAGCCTAACCAACAATCGATTATATTTCCACACAAAGTTTGCACCTTTCCTGCACGCTCAAAATATTTCCATAGCTCTCCCATCTTTCAGGATGGAACAATAGGACAGTATAACAGAACTGGAAGGGACCTTGGAGATCTTCAAAGTCCAACCTTCTGCTCAAGCAGGAGACTCTGTACCATGTCAGAGAAGTGGTTGCCCACTCTCTTATTAAAAACCTCCAGTGTTGGAACATCCACAATTGATTGGATTCCCCATAATTTCTCCTAAAGTTTCAACTTCAGTAGAAGACATGGATTTGTGTGTGTGTGTGTGTGTGTGTGTGTGTGTGTGTACGCGCGCGCGCGCGCACACACACACACACACACACACACACACACACACACTGCTACTGTTGACTTTCCATTCCAGTACCAAATACTGTACTTGCTTCCTCAATCTACACTCAGTTTTAGCAACCTGGTATGCCTTTGGCCACAGTGGTTATAGATTATAGTTGAATATCAATAAAAATAGAGCTTGAAGGGACCTTGGAGGTCTTCTAGTGACAGTCCAACCCTCTGCTCAAACAGGAGACCCTATACCAGTGGTTCTCCACCTGTGGGTCGGGACCCCATTTGGGGTCAAACGCCCATTTCACGGGGGTCGCCAAACAAGGCTGTCCGCCATTTTTTCCCCCTTTTCTTTGGCCACGCCCCTGGCACCCGGTGATGTATAAGTGGTTGGGGGTCACCACAACATGGGGAACTGTATTATGGGGTCGCGGCATTAGAAAGGTTGAGAACCACTGCCCTATACCAAGGGTAGGCAACCTTGGCTCTTTTATGACTCGTGGACTTCAACTCCCAGAATTCCTGAGCCAGCCCATTTCAGATAGGTGGTTGTCCAGTCTCTTCTTAAAAACCTCCAGTGAGGAAGCACTCACAAGTGCTGAAGGCAAGCCATCCCACTGGTTAATTGTCCTCACTGTTAGGAAGTTTCTCCTTAATTCCAAGTTGCTTCTCTTTGGTCAATTTCCAACTGTTGTTTCTTGTCCTGCCTTCTGGGTGCTTGGGAAAATACGTTGACTCCCTCTTCTTTATGGCAGCCCTTCAAATACTGGAATACTGCTATCATGTCCCTTATGGTATTGTGAAGCTTCCTCTCAGTAGGTTTCATTGTATCTTGCCTATTTCATCTTTTGCTGACTATCGTCCCAACCCAATATGAAAAACACAGAAAAACTCTATAATTCTTCCGCAGTGCATCTATGGAGATTCTCTTATCATCCAGCTCATGGTTGTCATGAAGGTGTCTTTTTTTCCCCAAAAGGCGACTAGGCTTTCTTGGGTTTTTTTTTTCTTTGAAAATATTTTCACTTCTCATCCAAGAAGCTTGTTCAGTTCGGCCTGCAAAATCATGCCTCTTCAGTTAAAATAAAGGCTGGAGGTGTGGACTTACCTGGCCTTCTGTGATAATCAAGCAGGACAGGATCACTTGAAATGGGAACCTGCTCAGGTGTTGTTTCCACAAAATAATGCTGCCCAACTTGGTGTAAGTAATTAGACTGTTGTCAGCATGAGCCAATCACATTTTCAGCATCCAAGCAACTTCTTAAAGGAGCTGGTGTCTGATTCCAAAGTCCATTTGTTTTAACTGTTTGATCAGTGAAATGGTAATGATTATCTCAATAGACTTTTGAAAAACAAACCAAGTTTTTGTGGCAAAAACAACTGCAGTGATTCACTTAACAACTGTGGCAAGAACGGTCATAAGATTGGGGTAAAATTTGCTTAGCAATTGTCTCGCTTAGCAACAAAAATTGGTGGGAAAGCATGCAACTGCAGCTGGTCAGAGATGAGGAAGAGGAACTGCCTTCCGCATCTGATCCAAGAAACACGTAGGGCAGAGAAAAGGCAGGAGAAGGCAAGGTCAGCCAGATTCCTCGTGAGGAGAAAACCTCGCCCTTCTTTTCTTTTTTTTATTTATAAGTTTTATTGGTTTTTAAAACAGAAATCACATAATAGTCGGTTAACAGTGTGTTTGCTTAGTTTACATTTGTAAGGAAAGATCATAAACAATTGATTTCTATAATTTGTAATCCACATATTCAAACAAATGTCTCTTTTTCTCTTAAATATTCTCTCTGGTGGGTCCTGTCATCTGTATTCTTAATTTTCATTTTAATATTTTCAATATGTTTTGCTGAATCAGAGTTTTTCCGTCTATTTTTCCCCAACCAATTATACAATTTATTCCAGATTTCATAATAATCTGTTTCACTCTTATCCTTAAGTTCTAACGTCAACCTATCCATTTCCGCACAGGATAAAATCTTATTTATTACCTCTTCTTCTGAGGGTGTCTCATTATCCTTCCATCTTTGTGCAAAGGCTAATCTTGCTGCTGTTAGCATATGTAGTAATGGGTATAGTGATCCTTTATTGTATCTATCCTTAGTGATACCCAGCAGAAAACGTTCTGGTTTTGGCTCAATGTTCTGCATTAGTATCTCTTCTAGTCACTGTTTTATCAAATGCCAAATTTTTTGTACTTTAGCACAGCAGACAGATAGAGGCAATGCTGGGAACAATGTGTTCTTTTCCTAGCTTAAGGTGACCAACTTTTTTACAATAAAAAGGAGGACACAAATAAATTGAAGAAAAAAATATCGTAAATAAAAGAAACATTTTATTCATTGCAACAATAATACAGAATACACTATAATATGATAAATGCATAATAAAAAACATTTCTAACAATAACATTTTATATTGTAATTATGCTTACATACCGCTCCCCCACCCACAGCCACCCCGCCAGCACTGCTGCTCCGCTGTGTAGAGCGGGCCCCGCGGCTCCCAAAGCACCAGCGGCACTGGCTCCGGCCCCAGGGGGCAGCCCGCCATTGACAAACCCCGCCTGCAGCCGCCCTGCCAGCACCACCGCCCACCCTGCACAGCCCCGTGTAGAGCAGGCCCTGTGGCTCCCACAGCACGGGGGGCAGCCAGCCACCACCGCCCCTCACACCCCCACCTGCAGCAGTCCTGCCACCCCTGCCTCTTGTGCCCGCAGCCATTATTGCCGTAACAGGGCGGAAGATCAAGAGAAAGTTACCATGGCATCGCCGCTCCAGTCTCCTCCAGGTATCTTCGGAACTAAGTAGGAGATGGTGCAGTTGGGTAGCAGGGAGGGATGCAAAGTTCCTGCCAATTCGCCTTCGCTGCAGACAACTTACATATGCAAAGTTTGCCAGCCAGGTGTTTTGGCACGCTCAGCAGCAATTCCTATTGGCTTTCGAAAGCCAATAGTGGGAGTAGCACAGTTCATGAAAAAGTTTAAAAAAAAAACATCAAAAAAAGGTGCTGGAATGCCATTCTGAGCGTTCTATGAGAAAAAAAAGCTTTGCAGATTAGTCTTCAAATATCGAAAAGGAGGACATGTAGGAGGACACTTTTTGAGGGAGGACAGAACTCACAAAAGGAGAACTGTCCTCCCTAAAGGAGGACGGTTGGTCACCTTACCTATCTGTGTGTTTTTTGGTTGTGATTCCTGCCTTGCTTTGGACTGACACCGTGCCTTGACTTGGATCGTGCTTTGTGAACTCTGAACTTTTCATGCCTCGTGAACCCTCTTGTATTGTGGATTTAATTTTTGCCTGATGGGTTTATTTTGATTGGGAAACTTTAGCATTGGCCTGCATGTGGCTGGACGTAATTGGGACAGCTCTGGGTTTTTGGTGAAGGGAATTGCTGGGGAATATTAATAAACCCACTAAACCAGGGGTAGTCAACCTTGGCTCTTTTATGACTCGTGGACTTCAACTCCTAGAATTCCTGAGCCAGCCATGCTGAGGCGAAAGGGAGAGGTTTCCAAGCTGAGCCATGCTGGCTCAGGAATTCTGGGAGTTGAAGTCCACGAGTCATAAAAGAGCCAAGGCTGCCTACCCCTGCACTAAACCATGGTTATGTGGGTGTGTGAGTGAGCAGGACAGCACATTGACTTATGACTGGTTGCTTAACAACTTAAGTTACAGTGGACCCAAAAAAGGTACTGCTGAATTTGAAGTTTTGACCGCTGCCTCCTCAACCCTCACCATCATGTGATGGCATTTTGGGTGCTTGGCAAATGGCCCACATTCGTAACTGTTGGCAGCATCCCATGGTTACGTGACACCGATTTTTGACTTCTGGCTTCTGGCAAAAACTGCCCATTGCAGAAATGGGTTCACTTAATGACCATGGTTTAGGTTTAGTTTCTTGCTCTATGTTCGCCTCTGATTAGTGTTCACCTTCCTTGCCCAGCTTTTTCAACTGGTTGCTCAGAATTGTCCTCCTCCCATTTTATTGATTTCTACCCTGCCTTTATTATTTTTTACAAATAACTCAAGGCGGTGAATATATTCAACACACCCTTCTTCCTCCTGTTTTCCCCACAACAATCACCTTGGGAAGTGGGTTGGACTGAGAGAGAGCCACTCAGCTGGCTTTTGTGGCTAAAGCAGGACTTGAACTCACAGTCTCCTGTTTTCTAGCCTGGTGCCTTAACCGCTAGACCAGATTGGCTCTTTTATCTTCTACTTCCAATGAGATGTCTTGTGGGGATCCACCTCCTTTCTGCTCTGTCCCTGGCCAACTTTCTTCTGCCCTGTTCTCCTTGTAGATCTCATTTTGTTGGGATGCATGGCAATCTCCACAGGCAGTAGCCGGTACTGGCTGGCAGAGGAATTCTGGGAGTTGAAGTCCACAAGTCATAAAAAGGCCAAGTTTGAAGACCCCTGCTTTACAGCAATCAGGTTAGTTTTGAGTCATGGGATATTTGTGAGAAGTGCCTACACTAGCACAGAAGCTTGATGACCTTGTGTCAGCAGGTGATTGCGTGAAGACAACTGTCTTTATTAGGACAGGTTGGCATCATCAGCTAAAGAATGAAACTACCGGTAGTCCTCAACTTATGACCACAAATAATAAGTGAGAAATTTGTTAAGTGAGTTTTGCCCCATTTTACGACCTTTCTGGCCACGGTTGTTAAGTGAATCGCTGCAGCTGTTAAATGAGTAACAGGGTGGTTAAGTGAATCTGGCTTCCCCATTGACTTTGCCTGTCAAGAGATCCCAAAAGGTGATCCCAGGACACTGCAACCGTCATAAATATGAGCATCCAGATTCTGATCACATGACTATGGGGATGCTGCAATGATTGTAAGTGTGAAAAACGGCCATAAGTAACTTTTTTTTCAGTGATGCTGTAACTCTGAACAGTCATTAAGATAACCTTTATTGTCATTTTTTTTCCTGTGGGCACAATGGCACACATCAAAAATGAAATTTAGTTGCCCACTCTCAAAGTGAAACACATACATGACACACACCTAAACATACTATGAACAACATATGTACAGACCCACATCCCTACATATACATAGCAAATAAATATTAAACACTGTCCATTTTGAATATATAATGGAAGGAGGAAGCTTGAGAGTTCACAAGGTTAATGCTGTATGGAATGAAACTCTGGCTGAATCTGGATGTTCTGCCATGGATACCACGAAGCCCCCTCCCAGAAGGTAACAAGGAAAACAGGTCGTGAAGAGGACGTGTAGTGTCCCAGATAATCTTACGGACCCTGCTCAAGCAGCGCTTCTGGATGGGAGGGAGGGAACTGCCAATGATCTTTTCGGCCATCCTCACCATTCTGCACCGCCTTCCTGTCTGAAGCAGTGAAGCCTCCAAACCAGACTGTGATGCTATATGACAGGATGCTCTCGATCGTCCCCCTGTAGAAAGTGGTCAGGACAGGGGAAGGAAATGTGCTTTTCTCATGCGACGCAGAAAATGCAGGTGCTGCTGTGCCCGCTTCACCAGTTTCTCGCTGTTGAGCGACCAACTCAGCCATTAAATGAAGTTGTAAGCTGAGGACTACCTGTATTCATATTTAGGCTCGTTGGAGATTTGCCTGAAGAACAAAATCTTTTATCTCCTCTGAAGAATCTCAAAAAGAAAGGCCTTCTCTGGCCTTTTTCTCCAACAGGAAGAGGAGCACAGATGATGCCGCCTATGGTAGTTTGGCAAGGAAACATCTGCCAAGAAAGCCACCAAACTCAAGAGCACCGGATGCCAGTGAGGGAAGTTAGCCCAGAGAAAGAACTATTAAAAAGGGCAGAAAAATATATTTTTCCTCAAAAGGACTTTTTAAAAACCAAACCTGGCCCCAAATCTATTTCTCTGCCCCAAGCAAGACTTTAGCCCCATATGAATGCAGATGTAAAACCATCAGAGAATTGAAGCCAGAGCAATCAAGAAGACAAAAGAGAAGATCTGCATACCCCACCCAAACTCTAGGAGTCATTAGCCCCATCACCTGGGAAACAGGATATGATGATAGAATTAAACTAGGCCTAGACAAACACTCAGAAACAGCCTCAAGGTTCATGCCACAGGAACAGGAAACTATTCCAAACAAAAGGCTTGAGGGGGGTATAAAAACCTACTACACCATGTGCTTAGCCCTTCTCTCCTCTGCTCTTTCCTGAAGAACCATCTTTCTGCAATAAACTGTAATCTTCTTCCCAAAGCAGTCGCCATGTTTGCTTATTTATTCCCGGCTTGGATGAACC